TTATAATGGAGAATGTACCATAATCCAGCAACATAAAAAGTCTTTTGATTTTTTTAAAGTTATAAATAAAATACCAAAATTTCTCATTTTAAACAGTTACAATTAAAACGCATCACAAACATGCTACACCTACACTTACAGTCTTATAAAAATGAATTGTATAAGATCTAGTCTGTCCAGTCTAACCACCAGTTCTTAAAAGATCTGGCCTTTCAATTTCTGTTTCTCAGAAACTAAAAAGTAACATGTGCGAAGAAAGAACAAGCTGTATAGGATTGTTTTTGTACTGTACTTATGTGGTGGTGGAAGCTAGCCAAGCATGGCAGAGGAGTTAGTTAAGACATTGTCTTAAAGATTGAGACAATATATAGGAACTGATGAAGGCATCATAGAAAGGAACACTGGAGAGGACTGGAGAGAAAAAAAAGACAACATTCAGCATATACATAGCTTTCTACATTCCCCCACAAAAACTGTCATGGCTTTTGAGCATAAGGTACCGCCTATCCAGGAATATTTTGCAGAAATTTTTTCCCTAAGTAAAAAAGGAAAACAACGTCAAGTGTAAACAGTGCAAGAAGATGCTGCAGGGCCTAGTTGCAAGAATGAAACATCATAAGGAAAACTGCTTATTGGGAGAAAAGGATGTGGATAACAGAAATGTTAAATTTAGATTAATCGGCTAATCAAATAGTCGATGTAAATTGCATCAACTATTTGATTAGTCGATAAGGGCACCTACGCCTTTGAAGTGTAGCAACAGCCCCAGGGCTGTTACTACACTTCACAGGTGAAAGCGCTGCAAGGAGCATAGGGCCAGCAGGGGACTCAAGCAGTCCGCCACTGGCCCCATGCTCCCTGTGAGGTTTCAAAGTAGCAGCACCACACGGAGCCCAGGGTCAGTAGAGAGGAAGGGGGGGGTGCCCTTCGCTGACCCTGGGCTGCACACGACATTTCAAAGCAGCAGCACTGCATGGAGCCCAGGGTCTAGCCCCAGGTTGCATACGGCACTGCCACTGTGAACCACATCCTCCTTTCCCCCCTCCCCACCTTGCTGCCTCTTTCAGATAGAGGCAGCAAGGAGGGAGGAGAAGCTACTAGTGACTAGCGTGTCAACTATACGATAAGCATTTGTTTATTGGATAGTGGACTAGTCATTCATATCCCTAGTGGATAAAGTTGTGGATATGGCTGAGTGTATCAACTGCTGAGTAACAGGGATGTGAAGGACTAGTTAACTATCCGATAAGCAAATGCTTATCGGATAGTGGATAGTTGCTTTCCCTCTGGCTTGTTGCCTTTATCAGAAAGCAGCAGCAAGGGGGGTGGGGGGGACAGCAGGGGAGAGAATGGGGTACTTAAAGCAGCAGCGCCGCATGGAGCCAAGGATCCGGCCCCAGGTTTCAAGTGGCGCTGCCTCTTTCAAAATGCCGTGTGCATCCCAGTGCCACCTGGGGTGTTCCTAGGCTGCATGCGGCATTTCAAAACAGCGCCACATGGAGCCCGGGATCAGCTGGGGACTCGCTCCTGCTGACCCCAGGCTCCACGTGGCACTTTCACCTTTGAAGCGTAGCAACAGCCCCAGGACTGTTGCTACAGTTCAAAGGCGGAGACGCTCTATCAACTAATCGAATAGTCGATGCAAAATGCATTGACTATTCAATTAGTCCATTAGTCAATATTTAATATCCTTGGTTAGTAAATTAAATAATTCAAAAAACAATGAGGAGTCCAGTGGCATCTTAAAGACTTAAAGATGTATTTGGGCATAAGCTTTCATGGGTAAAAATCCAATGCATCCTTCTTCAAGTCTCTCTGTGTCTTTTAGTGCAAGTGTAATTTGACAAAAATTCCCAACCTGTTTACTGTTGGATGTTGCTAGGAAAAAAAAGTTTAGCTTAACTAATTAAACAAGACATAAGGATTGGCTAACTAGGTTTAGAATCTATCACACAAGTGTATAAAACAGCAAACTGCAATAAGAGAAATCTAGAGTTGCCAGTTGACACTGAGTGTCATTTTCTTATTTTATATTATGCAATACACGTCCCTTATTTTGGAACATCACTGTCAGAGACAATAAGGGTGATGTCTTAAATCTATTCCCTAGTTCAGCATAATTGAGCTTCTCCAAGGGAACCCCATTCTATAGTTGTTTTCTCAAAAACCATACAGTGCTAGTGAGTTCAGTGGGGCTTACTCCAAAATTAAGTGCACTCTACGCAGTTAGTCTTCGCTTTTTTTGGTATCTTGATTTAAAATTAGTGATTTTTTTTTTGTGATTTAAATTGTGAACTAAATCAATGTTTTAAATTGCCTTGATTTAAATCAACCCACCCGGATATGTTCTGAGAAATCAGACGTCATTAAAGTTTGTAAACTAAAACAATGGCTTTTGATTTTCATACCACCTCTCAGACACTCAGCAACATTTTATACAAGATGAAAATAACACAATGCTGGTTATGATTGTAAAGATAGCAGCATGCCATTTTCTTTCACACAGCCATCATAAATAATGCACCTGATTTGTACGGGTCATTTGTGTGAGGTACATGAAGCTTTCCTTCACCACACAACCCAGGAGCAACACGTGGTAAGCCATCACCCCAGTGAATGAACATTACAAATCTTGTCTTGACCATGTAATCTTAGTTTCAAAGTGCTTAGCTATTTAAAGTATTACATCCAAGAGCAACATTTAGAAAATGACAGGTTAACCTTAGTTTATATGCTTGAAACAAATGTGGTGTTTAGTGACAAAGTACTGGTAATTTTGTTGCATCACCACAATCAGAAAACATTTAATATGTCAAGAAAAAAAAATCAGTATACTGTATTACATAAAGCAAGTGAGCCGATCTACATCTATCAGAGCGCTGAAATGTAACATTGAATATATGTGGCTGTCAGGAATATGGCACAATGGATTACCTGGTTGCTCTAATTACAAACCAGCTGTATCGTGCGCTATCTTGTATATGTAAATTCAGTGTCATGAGTTTACTTCCAACTTAATAAATTGGTTGAGCTGATATTTGCCAACCAGCTTGCAACATACTGCTCATCAAACGTTGTGAAAAAAATGGAAAACACTGATAAATCTATGAGTACATTTAATAGTACAAGCAAAAGTTGTCAAATATATGTTATATGTGGAACTAACTTACGTAATGACGACTTGTATAATATTTTCTCACCTAAGGACAGGAAAAGTTTTTCTACTATGAAGAATACAGTATATAGTAACACATGAAAGTGTTTTCACAACATTATAAAGCTTAGACCACAATCTCTTAGAAATTATACAGAGTTTATCTTAAAAGTGAGATACATAAATGGTAACAATCAAGTCTAAAAACTAAAGGCAGCTGTCAAGCGGAAGGATAACCAGCCTCTAGTGATGAGCTATTGCAAGAGATCTGCTTGTTAAGTTACCATCTTAAGAAAGCCACTAAAGTTCTGGACTCTGCATCTCTCAGATGCATGGCCTATAGCTAATCCAGTTATCAGAGACAATAAACCTCTTCACTAATTGAATCACCTTTCATCTTCCATGTTGTGTTTTAGGATTGCTCCATTTCCCCCTGGTATTACCAATCATGTTTTAATGCAGTGCCTAGGGACCATCAAGATGGGTGCACCATTGTGCTAGGTACTGTACAAACAGTAATAGCTAGACCCTACCCCTGAATTACATGCATTATATTAAAGTTCAGTTTCAAATTCTGTGCAACACTTCAACCTCCTGCTACTTATTTTCTAGAATAATACTAGAGTTGGATGGCATCCTCTCAATTTAGCAGTGAAGTCCATATTTCTTCAAGATAGTCACAATTTACATTAACACCTATCATCCAAAACAGAAATTATGTTTAACAAATACTGTATAGCATGGTAGTTATGCCAGCTATTATGGTAGACAGGAGAGTAGGGGAGGGCAAGATTGGTGTATTAAAAAATATTGTTTATATTAATCACTGATTGTTTTGCTAGAGCAATGTGAATCAAACAGGAAATAAGACCACACTCAGAAGTTGTCCAGTTGGTTACATCATTAAGTACATATTATTAAACCATTTCTTCTTTCTCCAATGTGTATGGCAATGTTCTTATGGAGAAGAAAAATCAATGAGTCAAATAAGGTATACAATAAAACCTGCACGTAAGTACACTGCCAACTGGAAACTCTCACCTAAATTAACTGCCAAGCACCTTTAAAGAAAAAAATCTGTTCAACCTTTAAAGAAAAATAAAGAAAAACCAGCATCTGTTGCTGTCTTGTTCATTTTAACAAAGTAGCTCTATATGATCAATAATTTGACTGATTTTTGCTTAGCCCTGCAATAGGCCCTTAAGACAGGTGTCATTGCACAACCACACACTTACAATAAACTAAACTGAAGTGCAACTCTTTCCTAGTAAAACTCAGCAAGCAGGCCCAAAATGTTTCTACAGCTCAACATGCCAACCTGCAATTGCACTTATAATGAACATGTAACTTTTCAGTACAATTATTCTGGGAGAAAACAGAACCTCACTTTAAGCATGTGCCCTAGGTGACAACGCCTCAAACCTCTTCTCTTGCTCCTCCACCCACAAGCTTCAGCACAAGCCCTGGGGACGCAGAAAGATGGGATGCCGGGCATGGGAAGCCGTGAGGGATGCTCCAACTACTTCCCGAGACTCCCCACCACCACGTCCGATGGGTCAAGCTGTCGCGCCCTGCCCCATGGGGTGAGGAAGAGGAACTGTGCCCAGCCCCGCATCCTCACGGTGATGGCAACACCCCTGGGAGCCCTGCTGCAGGGGGACAGCGAGTCGGCCAAAGGGGGCTCTCACCGGGGCTGACTGCCCAGCCAGGGAAGGCGTGTGCGGGGCTCAGCTACAGCGGGGCGCCTGTCACTGCCGCCGCAGAGCGACCCCTCCATAGGCTCCCCGCCTCGCGAAGAGGGTGGGTGCGGCCAGGTCCCCCGCCCCTCGAAGGGCCCCCCTCTCACCTCGCCGTGTCCCGCCCCGGCCCCTCCAACGCCGCCGCTCAAGGCTCCGTTGCTGGCGGCCGTTGCCGGCGCTGTCAGCAGGCCGCCCCCCACGCTCGGCGTGGCAGCCCCTGCCTGGGCTGGAGCCCGCAGGGCGGCCGAGACCGAGGCGGCCGCGCTTTTGCTCAGGCCGCCCGTCCCGCCGCTGGGTCCGGGGCCGCCGGTACTGCCGAGGCCACCGCCCCGCTTGTTCTTTCTGCGCTTGGCTCCTCGCTTGGCGTCGGCCGGACTCATCGTGTCTGACACCCGGGCAGGGAGGAGGCAGCGGGGAGCTCGGAGCCGCCGGCAGCGCCCGGAGGGGGAGCGGAGAAGGCCGGGCCACAGGCACCGAGGAGCGGGGCGCACGAACTGTCACTATAACGGGGACTCCCTTGGCCCCAGCGCCGCTGACCAGAGTTACCGTCCAATATGGCGGACACAAGGGGAAAGTGATCCCCCTTTACGTCGGGGGGCTCCCCCTTGCGCTGACGGGAACCCGCGCCGCGTAGCACGCCGGGAAATGCAGTTGTAATCCTGCTGCCACTTCGGCACCGTACCCTACCCGCGGCAGGATGGGGACTACAACTCCCAGCGTGCATTGCGCAGCCCGTCCGGGAGCGGTCAGTTATGTCATCTCGCATCGCACCGTTCGATGGGATATGTAGTTTTCTTGGCAGCCGTTAGCCCGCTTGACCAACGTTACCACCCTTGTCTGGAGACTACAGAGCCGCAAAAAAGGAGCAGGAGTGGAAGAGTCTAACAACACCACGTGATGTTCGATACAGGGGCTTGTTAAAGGGGTAGAGGCCTTAGGCAGCCCTCCAGGAGTCCATTGTACAGAGGGTATGTCAGGTCAGTCTTGTGTATAATACAGTATAGCTGCTGCACTGGGTACAAGGTCGTTTCCCAGGTATGCACGTAATAGAAATGGTTCTAATGGCACTTGCAGTTTCCAGATGTGATGTCTGCAGCAGTGTTTTTCTCCTGAGTGGAACCCCCATGCAGTGAACATGGGTTGAATGCATCTCAGTTCAGTGTAGCTCCCTCTCCATGGTGTATGCAGGTTTGGGCCTCTGCTGAGACATCCAATTAGTGCAAAGCACAGTGATGAGTTTGAGATATGGGAGTTGGAACCAACCACATTCATTGAAAATATGGCCCATCAAACATCCATTGGATGATGATAGCTTTTAACCTGCTCGGAGCTGTTGTGGATTTGTTACACTTTTAAATATAAGACTTGTTCTCTGGAAATATATATTTATTAACTTGAGGTCTGACTCTTTGAAGGTTACACAGGTAGACCCTTCCCGTGAAAATGCATCAACATTTCATTCACACAACTAGGAGCCTTCTGCAAACACAGTGTATAGTACAAAACAAATATTTTTTTAAATGAAGTAGAATTTTAAAGTTGTAAATACACAATAGTGAATTATTTCAGTAGTTACTTTTTATTACAGAAGCCTTATAAATTGAAACTCCAGACCTACAGATGCACTACCATTAGGCTGTACAGCCTTTCCCTGATGGCACTTCAGAATGTAGTCCACAAAAATCAACATGTGAGGCCAGGACTCCTCTAAGCTAGCCATTGGGAGATGCTGACAAGAAGGGTGCATCCTAAGTCCTTCCCTTCTCCCAGAGCCAGGCACCTTTGTCCAAGCTTCAGAGAGGCCCTATATCTGATAGGGAGCCCAGTTAAGAACTCAAGTATCAGAGGGGTAGCCGTGTTAGTCTGAATCTGCAAAAGCGACGAGGAGTCCTGTGGCACCTTATAGACTAACTGAAGTGTAGGAGCATAAGCTTTCGTGGGCAAAGACCCACTTCGTCAGATGCATGTTCTTCTGTTAAGAACTGTTCTTCTGGAGTCAGGCAGCTAAAGCAGGGGTGGGGAATCTTTTTTGGGTCGGGGGCCGCTGACCCACAGAAAAATCAGTCGGGGACCACCTACAAGTGAGAAGCAAAGTGAGAAGCCCCTGAATGAGAGCCACGGAGGGTCCAGGTTAGTAGATTTTGTGTGCTCCAGCCCTATGTGAGGGTGGTTGGGGGATTGGAGCGCCAGTGCAAGCTCCCCAATGCTGAGCCTCGGAAGCCAAATCTATGCAAGCCAGGTGCCACATTCGGCCCCTGAGCCTGAGGTTCCCACCCCTGGCCTTAAAACCACATCTATACTTACTACACCAGAGGTCAATCTTCTGGTGTTTAATTTAGCGTGTCTAGTTAAGACCTGCTAAATTGAACACTGAAGGCGGCCCTGGCTAGCGCCGGTACTCCTGGCAGTCACGAGGAGGAGTAAGGGAAGCCAAAAGAAGTGTTTGGTCCCATCGGCCTCCCTCTGTGAAGACAATGCCAAGCTCAGCTTAAGGTAAGATGACTACAGCTACATATTTTACTTAGCTAGAGTAGCATACCTTAACCCTGACCTTCCAGGTCTAGTGAGGACCAGGCCTAAGACATTTCACACAAGAATGAGCATGGAACTAACTTCACACAAAATGCATGAAGAAAGAGTTGTACAGCCTACTACCCGTAGCCCAGTGGTTAGAACATTCATTGGGAAAGTGAGAGACCAGGCACATTTCCCGCTTTAGCTGTGGGGAGAAAGGATGTCACACCCCTTAAGAGAGAACTCTCTGCAATGGGTTATCCGATAGTCTGATGTAGGGCTCCCTCAGTCTCTCTTATTAAAGCTTTTCCGCTTTGGATAAATTATTAAATAGTCATTAAAGCAGGGGGCTGGACCCTGGTCTCCTTCCTTCCAGGTGACTGCCTTTACTACCAGATTAAAATCATTGTGATCCTTCCTCAATGACTAAATATTTATACACAGCAGGAAGCTCTAACAGGCATGATTGAGTGAGACTATCCTGTAACCAAGGGGTTGGAGCATTCTTCTGAGAGATGTAGGAGACTGGTTCAATTCTTTCTCCCAATCAGGCAGAGGAAGGAATTGAATGTGGGATCCTTCATCCCAAGTTAGTGCACTAACCACTGGGCTAAAAGTTGCAAGGTGGGCACCATCTCTTCCCTTTGCCATTTGAATAGGACCTGATCCTGCAGGGGTGCTCAGAGGCTGGCTATTGGTTAGGTTTATTCTATTAGTGAATCACACCTTGGCTTAGGCAGGACATAGGTGTCCGAGTATATGAGCCAGCAATGCACATGCACAGAGGCAGGAACTTGGTTGCTAAATAAGTTTAGGCACCCACAGGGTTAGGTTGCAGCCAAGAAGTTTTGTGGATGGTAGTTGTAGCTAAAATTGGGATTCAGATGTCTAAGTAACTTTGTGGATTTTCCTATCACTGTGCTTCTGACATTGACCTTCTTAAATTTTCCTAACATAGGGATAAACTCCAGTTGGTTCCTGATCCAAAAGTACAGGCCCCTGTCACTTGTGCTAATGAAAAATCTCTATTAATTCTAAAGGTTTCACACATTTGAGAAGTTCTAACTCTATCCAGTAGAGGGCAGTGGTACACATGAAGCAAGCCCATCTCTCTATCAGGTGATTTCTAAATCATCAACTACTTAATAGGTCTGCAAAATTTTCTGGTATTAGGTGTGTTTGGGGCATGACAAGGGCCCATAAATTATGAGGCATTGCATTACCATATTTTGACATAATATGATGAAATAGCATTGCAGCATGCAGAGGGACTGATAGGAGCAGATTATATTTTGCTGTGTTATTATAGTGTATTGAAGCCAGTGGCGGATTACCATAGTATTGTGTTTTGATGCAATACAGTGTGACTGAATATGATAGTATGAAGCTGAGTGTTGCAAGCAGTTTCTTTTCGAAGCAGTCTTGCATCACAGTTTATTAATGGTTTTTGCCCTGTGGCACAATGACAACACTTAGCCTTTCCTACTCACAAAAAGGGCAACTCTAGGTTATAGTTATGTGGATAGAAAGTGCACAGATATTTTATTGTCTTGTAATGAGGAAAGTGGTGTTTCCATTCTTGCAAACCTTCTGCCCACAGTGAAATTGTTCTATGACTAGCCTTTCTCAATCTACTGCAAAAGATATTTCTATGTACGCATATGCAATTATGAAACTAGGAAGACAGGCACTTTAATTCACCGTTGAATCTCATTGCTGATATATCACTTCCCATCTTGTTTTATATGATGGCTAATTAGATTGTGAATTCTTTGGGGTAGAACCTTTGTCTTCCTATCTGCCGGTCATGCTTAGTGAAATGTTAACGTTATACAAACAAATAATAATAAGTGTTATACAGAAAACACACCTTCACAGACTTGAGGAAGAGCTCTGTGCAAGCTCAAAAGCTTGTTTCTTTCACCAATAGAAGTCAATTCAATAAAAGATATTATCTTGCCCACCTTGTCTTACCTTAACAAACAGCGTTTAATTTCAAGGGGGAAAAAACCCAACCAAACCAAAACCAACCAAAAAAAACAAACAAAAAAACCCCCTACAATATGCACAACAGCAGAAGTTCTGATTTTGTATCATAAAGCAGCATTTTTACATAAGGTATTATTGTTAATCTGGAGGGCTCCTATTTTTCATGTGATATTTTGGCACACTCTTATTTAAGTCTGATTGAGAGCCAGCTTTATCTTTTCCTAGAGATTTTATTTATTTACACTTGTCCCCATTCATCCAGCCCTGTGCTTCCAAAAGAAATTATTACAGCTCTGTCAGTCTGTATGTTCCCCGTGTGTTGCAGATAAAATGCATTAATCTAGGGGACTATTATAACAAAAAGCAGTCAACACTGCAGCAGCAAAAGCAATAATACTTTGTCATCACCATGTTTAATTCCCTTGTTACAGAAGTATCACTATGCAGGTTTTACTCTTCCCACTATAAAGAGCCAGCAGCAGGTCATGTTTTTTTTTTATTCAATTTTCAAAATTAAAAACAATTCCCATATCTGAATGTGATTGTGAATATTTATAAGCTGTGCAAAGCAGAGTTGTGGTTTTGGTGGGTTTTTTTTCTAAATCAGTGAGTGAATTTACTGCCCAGGAAGCTTGAGTGGTTTCCTACACAGCTCTCCCACCATACTTCATTTTTAACTTGTAACCAATCTTAGCTGCTGATGCAGGCCCAGGTCATTTTAGAAATTTTTACCAGTTTTTTTTGGCAAATCTGAAATGCATATGGAGTGGAAGGGGTGGGGGATGATGTAACCAGACACACTTGGCTGTGACTGTGACTCCTACACCTTTATTTCTGCCCTTACTAATCAGTCAGCTAAAATATTTGAGTGAATTAACTTTAATTTGCCTCACTATGTCTCTTCACCAGAGCCTCACACTTTGAATTCCTGGGCAATAATATATTATTTAGACTGTGAATAATTTCAGAATTGCTGAGAATGGCACCTGAAATAGTCACAAACAGTAGGACTGATGAAGAGTGAATATAAGAATAATGTCATGATTTCCAATGTTTTGCTACAGGCTTCCATAGTATCGTAGATTAGTCTTTGAGGCATATAGTCAATAAAAAAATGTGTGCAGAATTCCACAGGGCTCAATTAGGGTCAGACTCTGCCTTCAAAATTCACATGAGCATAGGAAAGCACAATGTAGCTTTTACAGTTTAATTGGAATGTTTGTGACCATGTCCTAGCATACACCTGACAGTGATCTGTAGAACTCTACAACTTGAAGAAGTCATCACTATAAATAAAGAAAGGCCCCCTGCTGCCTACAGTTATTAATAATTTTTCATTTATTAATTGTATTATTGTAGCTCTTTGGTGCCTTAGTCACAGACAAGACCCAGTTATGCTAGGCGTCATGCAAACACTGAACAAAATGACAGTTCCTGCCCACAGAGATCTTAATATCTACATAATTAAAAATAATCAATTGGTTCATAGTAATCCAAAGAATGGTAGATACTGTACAGATATTTAGAAGTTACAATCTCTGCCCCAGTGAAACTACAGTGGAAAGGCTCCTTTTATTGCAGTGGGCTCTGGATCAGGGTCTTCAGCCCAGTCCTGCAGACTCAGCCATCAGTCGTCCCATTGAAGTCAATGGGACTGCTCAGATGTCCCACTGTTGCAGGGTAATCAGGTAACCAGTGTGGGTGATAAGACAGGCTACCTGCCCATCCTGAACACTGCAGACTGTGCTGTGCCCCAGAAGCAACCAGTAGTAGGCCTGGCTCCTAGGCATGGGCTGGAGAAGAGTACAGGGCTCTGCACTGTGCCCCTGACCTGAGCACTAAGTCCACACTCCCATTGGCTAGGAACCTGCTGTGGCTGCTTCTGGGGTGAAGCATCATCTGCCATGACAGGAGAGGCAGGAAACCTGCCTTGGTATCCTCCTCCCCGGCTGCACTGCTGACTCAGAGCTGCTCAGGGTAAGCCCCTTCTGTCCCAGCCCTGCCAAATCTGGAGCCCCCTCCTACACATCAAAGCTCTCATGCTCAGCCCCACCCTGGCACCCACACTCTAGTCAAATTATGTTGGGTTGCGGGTATCAACAATTTTCTTCAACTGGGTCATGGAGAAAAAAGTTTGAAAACCACTGTTCTGTATGATTGAAGACACAGTATATCACTGACATTAGGAAATATGATCAGTTCCACATATGCTGTCTTCAATTTGTTTACAGGGTCAAAGGATGGGACAAGATTCACAATATTGAAATCCTCAGTCATTGCCAGATGTATGGCATTCAAAGCTTGCTCATAAACACTCGGCTGCATTGGTCTTGGTATTTCTATCATATGGCTGATTTGAGAAGACTCAAGACCCTATTTTATAGTCAGCTAAAGCAAGACACCTGTTCTCTCATACTGGAGAGTACAAATGACATAAAAGACACACTGAAATCCAGTTTGAAAACATGGGAAGTTGACCACAGCAACTTGGAAGCAGCATGGCACATTTCTCATGTTGCTGTTAACTGTATTAAAGCAAGGTGCATTAAGAGCTTATATAAAAATATGAACAGCACAAAGCAAGGAACACAATATCCTGAATTAGACAATCTTGTCTTCCCCAGCTCTGACATTGGTTTGACCTTGCATAAACATGTTCATTTATAGTATTTGCTTAATTTTCATATGACAACAGCAGCAAGATACTTCTTCATCACAACCCAGTTCACCTTTGAGTCTCAGATTTTTTTCAAAGCCAAGATCCAACTAACATTCAGGTGAATGGAAACCCTTTGCTTCTTTCTTCAGATATGTTCTGAAACATACCCAGCACCTTATAAAGCATTGCTTGATTATTTGTGGACATTAAAACATGGATTTATAAAACTGAATATTGTCTTGTGAATTTTGCTATTTTTCTCAATGAAAAATGATACTTGTTTGCGTTAAAAAAGCCACACAGCCTTAATCTATTGTTTTAAAATAGTTATAAAGAAACATTTTACAAATCAATACTGAAGTAGCAGAAAATGAGAGAAACTGTACAGATTCCAATTTATCCCAATAGTGATAAGAATGGGCTTTTTATACAGAAAATTGAATATTTTGATATGCATACAGATTGCTGACAAATCACTAGAGGACAGCCTGCAAGCAATACTGGCAGCAATTCAAAATAAAATAAATTGACTCTGACAAATCTGTCCTCCGATGCTTCATAAACCATGGAATACAATTAAGTGTGAAATCAAGTTCAAACTGATAGCTCCAATTCCAAAATAAAGTGTTGCTGCCCCTCCTGTCCCAAGTGGTTAGCTAACCTTTGGGTCCTTGTCACTTTATTCCCATTAGGAGAAGAAACTGATAGTACAAGTCAGGTGTATTTGGTGCAGTCCTTGTTTATGTGTAAAAAATGTCCACAAAATTCTGTCTCATGGAGCACAATGGAAACAAACAACAGCAAGATGTTTCTTTACCCCTCTGATTCTTTACTTATAGTTTCCAAGTCTGCTTCTCCATGCCTGTGCCCTAAGGAACTGTCTTTGTGACCACTCAGGAACATGTTCACTGCTGACTATCTTGCTATCTGCTAACTTTCTCTGCTTTCTGTCTTTCCCTTTCCTTTTCATTTGCAGCTAAACTCAGGGAAATCCTTCAGGTCTTGCCCTGCAGCCCAGTTCTTACATTTTTTTTACAACTGTCATTACAAGAGAGGAGATTAATTGCTCTTTCTATTAAACCTAAATAAAGGCAGGTCTACACCTCAGAGCAAAGTCAACCTAATTTACACAACTCCAGCTATATGAAACTCTCCCATTGACTTCCCTTACACTTCTCATTCTTATGGAGTACTGGAGTTAACAAGAGAGCGATTGGCAGTCAGTTTACTGGGTGTTCACTAGATCTGCTAAATTGACCCATGGGGGATTAATTGCCACAACACTGATCCTCTAGTGAGGGTAGACAAGCCCTAAAGTTTGCTTAGTTCTACTATTTTTTTAAACCAGGTTGTGACGGGGAAGACACTCCCCGCACTGACAACAGCGCCCCCGGCGAGGCGCAGGGCGACGCGGCCGGGTGGGACGCAGGGGAGAGCAGCCGGCAGGAAGGAAAGCCGCCGAGCCAGGAGGCAGGTGCGTGGGCCCGTGCGGCGGCAGGCGCGCTGCCCGCAGCAGGCACTTGGACCCGGGAGAAGGCGGCGGGGAGGCGGAGGACGGACCGGCACGTCTCGGGCGTGCCGGCATATAAAGGGGGGGAGCCGGAAGGGGAGGAGGCTAACGGCATTCCCTCTACCCCCGCAGGCAACCCCGGGAGGAACGCCGGAGGACCAGAGGAGGAGCGCTGGACCCCTGCAGCCCAGACCCAACACGGGACGACCCACCCCGGGGACCCGAGGATGGGGGCAGGTGGCAGACGACTCTGACCCCCCCACCCAAGGAGGGAAGAGGGCCGAGCCCGCTGGAGGGCAAACCCCTGTTGCCGGCCCGTGAGTGGGGCCGAGGGTGGAGAGCCCTTCCCGTCCCCTGGCTGAGAGTAAGCCAGGGCGCTGCGGCAGCTGCCATAGGAGCAGAGACAAAGGGACAGAGACAAAGGGGCAGAGACAGGGGGCTAGAGGCACAGGTGAGTGGGGTCGCGGGATGACTCCTCTCCCTTCCCCGCTCGGTACTGCCACACAGGTCTGTGATTGCTTAATGATCACAGACCTACTTGATGACAGACATTAATAGCTTCCAATATAACAGTAGAGATGCATCTACACTGCACCTGTGGCTCGAAATAAGCTACACAATTTGAGCTATGCAAATATCATCACTTATTTTGAGTCAATTTCAGACTAGCTTATTTCAAAATTCGGTTTTTGTCTATACAGCACTTACTTTGAAATAACCCTCTATTCTGAAACGTCCCTTACTCTTTGTGGAATGAGGTTTACAGGGACATTAGAATAGCAAAATAACAGGCATGCTCAAAAGACACAGCGTCTGCAGTGTAGACGTAGCCTAGAAGTTCTCCTGGAATTGTCCAAATAGAAGCTACCATCGGGGGCAACTGGTGAAGGGTGACATGGGGCCACTGGCCACGTAACTGCCCCAGCCCAGGGAGGGCCAAGACAACATCCATCTGTGAGTATGTGTAAGAGCTCTGGCTGGGGGTACAGGCTTTGCAGTTGGGCCAGGGATGAGAAGGTTTGGAGCATAGGCTGCCCTGGGGCTGTGACAGGGAGAAAGGTCTCCCCCACAGCAGCACTTGGGCTGGGGTGGAGGGCAGGGAAAGGTACCTCTTTCCACCATGGCAGTTCTGGAGCTGGGGATGCAGGATAGGTGCCTCTCCCATGGCTGAAGCAAGTTCCAGGCCAGGCTGGGTTAGGGCTGCAGGAGAAGTACCTCTTCCACAACCATGGCAGGTGCATGGTTGGGGCCGTGGGAGAGGTACCTCTACTGTAGCCATGGAAGGTCCATGCCAGACTATACTGGGACTATGGAAGAGGTGCCTCTGTTTCATCTATATACACAGAAATGAGCTGTGGGTATTCACATTCATATCTGTGGAGGCAGGTAAGTGCAGATATAAAGCAGATATCTGCAGATTTGCAGGGCTCTATGGATAATGATGTGAACTCTCCCAAAATCTTAGGTTGTTTGAAGCTGATTTTGGGTTCTGACCCAAGCCAGATTAATGAGACAGCTGTGAATTTTAGACCCAGATTGAAACTCCTCACTGACATATATCTTTTTGCATCTACTTAAATATTTAGCTTATTTGATGAGATTCTTGAGATTGAATGGACTTGAGTGTAGGCCCATTTTATAGTATCTCCTAAAATCCAGAACATATTTTAACTTTATTTGAATAACCCTTAAGAGTGCTTTGGGGTTGTTTAGTTTACAAATATATATTCCCAGAAGTCATTGCGCACCACAAATTTCATAATAGGGGTTAATACTTAAGTGCTCTCATGATCACACCCAAATGCTTTCAAACCAGCTCAGATTCCTGTGGCTTAATGTCATTTGTGAAGTGGGATTTTTGTCATATTAACAGTCATTTTGATTTAATTAAAAGCAATTCTTTCAGTGTGCTAATATGATGAATACAGGGTAGCATCGTTTAGGACTTCTCTCATTCCCATGGTAAAAAACATTGAAGAGAATCCCTTAGACCAGATCATATTTGGCAGAGATTGGCACAAATCCAGAAATGTATGATTTGCATTATGAATGAGAATGAAGCATTTATTAAAAGTAGAAGTTTTCTTTGCAGTGTTCTTTGACATGAGTTGAGGTTTGAATAAGCATGGACATGCTTGCACACTATATGCTTTTAAGACATAGTTATATAACTGCAGGAAAGCAGTTTGAATGCATTAATTATATTTTCTGAGTAGTTTCAGTATCTGAGTCTTCATTTGCAGCAGCAGTATCAAAAGCATTGGCACAGGCAGGCTAATTAATCCAGGCAGTTCCTGGGTTGAGGGCTGCTTTTTTTGTCTGTGGCAAACCCCTCCGTGCATTGCACTGTTTGCTTGTATAGATGAAAAGGAGCTTAATCTCTCTGGTTATATTTAGCATTCGCAGTCAAATACACAATTGGCAAAACCCCAGAGAGAAATCAGGGCACTCTTGTGCCGTGTAATGTGTTTTTAAAGTTCAGAATATCACAGAATCAAAATACTCATCAGACTGAGTGGGAGGGCGGGTGTGTGTGTGTGTGTGTGAAAAACTGTAATAATTAAGCATTTAGGGCCTGAGCTGTACATCTGTACAAGTCACTTTACTTATGTGAATAGCTATATTGCTTTGAGTGGGTCTACTCATCTAGTAACTGCTCACTAGCTTAAGCATTTGAAGGTTCTGATTGTAAGCAGCTTAGGACAAGGACACCTGGCTTTCTCTGTTCTCATATCTTAGGCCAGGTCTACACTGGTGGAGAAAATTGGTGCAAGATACGCAACTCCACCTATGTGACTTGCATAGGTGGAGTCAATGTAGCTTGCCTGATTTTCTGGGGCAGCCCCACAGCATGAGGTTGATGGGAGAAATGCTCTGTCGACTTCCCTTACTCCTTGTGACAGTGAGGAGTAGTGGTGCCAATGGGGGCACCCTCAGTGTTCAATTTAGTGGGTATTTAATAGACCCACTAAATTGATCCCCTGAGGATCAATTGCCAGAGTGCTGATCCTCCAGCAAGTAAAGATGTGGCCTTTGTCTTTACACTGTACTTACCACTGTGGTATCTGAGGGCATGTCTATGTTACAGAGTTTTGTCGGAAAACGGCTGTTTTTCTGACAAAATCTGAGTTACATCCACACTGCAATCGTGTTCTTCCGAAAGTAAATCTAAAGAAGAGAGGATTTTTTCCAGCATTGATAATCCTCTTTCTACGAGGAAGAAGCCTTTTTCCAAAAGAGCTCTTTCGGAAAAAGGCATGCGTGGATGGGGAAGAGGGAGTTCTTTCAAAAGAAGAGGAAAGAGGAAAAAACACAGGTGCCCTGGTGGCCACTCTGTCCATAGCAATCACAGCTTAAATGTGAGATAGCATCCAGTCAGTGTGGACACTCTATTTCAAGGCGCTTTTGAGTGTGGATGCTCTCTTTCTGAAGTTTTTTCAGAAGATCTCTTCTGAAAACAGGTTCTTCCAAAAGAAGCTTGAAGTCTAGACATAGCCTGAGTGCCTTTGAACAGGAGTGAGACACCGTGGAAATGTAAGAAATAATCCTAAACGGTGTTTCCTACTTCAGTGAAGAGATTTCACAGCACTTCTTGAAGCATGGCAGTTTGTCAAGGCTAACTGAAAAAAGGGAAGACTGTTTATCTGAATTTAAAAAGTGGCTCAAATAATTCTTTAAAATAATCACCACCCACCCCAAAAACCAGCAATGACACTACAGGCAGTCCCCGGGTTACGTACAAGATAGGGACTATAGGTTTGTTCTTAAGTTGAATTTGTATGCAAGTCGGAACTGGTACATATTGTAGGGGAAACTCTAGCCAAACATTTCTCCAGAGCTCAGTTTTATTCTCCCACACCTCACTTCCCTCAGTCCTTTATTCTCAAGCTGAGGTGTCTGCTGAGAAAAGCCGCTCCGCGTCTCCCTGGTCTTCTGGGGGGAAGCAGCTAGTGCGGGGTTGCCTCACCCCGTTTGTAAGTAGGGATCCGATGTAAGTCGGATCCATGTAACCCGGGGACTGCCTGTATTGTGGCAAATGTATCCCTGCTGAAGTCAACAAAATCATGACTGGATTTGGCCCAGTAAGTTAACAGATACTTTTCATTTCTCTCTAAGAATAACACTGTGTCACACTGCAGCTTGTGACACTGTTATAAGATTGTTACCTTTTATCTATCAAAGTGATGTGACCTTCTTCAAAGGTGAAGTCTGCAGTGCCAGTGAACCAGATAAGAAAATGTATGATCTTCAACATTCATTTATCCTAAGGAAATTAATTGTTCCAACCCCCATTTTAACTGAATGGTATTTTATTAAATCACTGCAGGAGTACATAGAGTTTTCTATGCACACCATAAAATGTGCTTCAGTAATGTCACTTGCTCCTAGGAGACATACAGCACGTTAAACATTTACATGAAAATGCCACACACCTCTTTTCAAACTGGATATCAATGGTGCCAAGAGCATTGCCTAGCACTCACAAGTATTCACATTTGGGAGAGAGATGCTCTTTTAATAATCTACATTATTGCTTGGGACTTCAATGGGTGCATCCCTGATTAAAAAAAACAACAATATTTTATAACTCAGAAACCAGATAGTGACTGGGACACCACTTTCTGCAGCCCCCATTGGTGATCTGCAGCCAACAGGAACTGCAAGCAGCTGAACCTGTGGATGTGCATGTAAATAAGCACTAGCAGCCAGCCAGGGGTTAAATTTAGCAAACTGCCTCCAGCCTATAGGGTGAGTAAGCTCAAAACAGCCTAAAAAAAGGATACAGCATCACTGCCACTTTAAAATTGCACCCAGAAATACTGCATCATGTTTTAAATGGTAATGGTAAGACCAGAGGTGAAAGTAAGCAAATGCGCACCGGTGCCCAGCTCCTGCAATAACTGGGAGAGCTGCAGCAAAAGCCAGTAGGAAGCTATTTAGAGAGCTAGCAGGGGCCTAGGTTGTGATAGGACAGTACCTGCCAGGCATTTAAGTTTCTTTCACCCTGAGTAAGACACCATACAGCAAGCTAACTAATTTAAATCCCATATTAAATTGGTGCATTATCACTCCAATGATATTTCATCATGTGTGTCACTGCTTTCATCATCCAGAAAAAATTATTTGAAGCAGTTTCTAAAATGCTTTTTTCAACAGGAAATAAATAACACAGCTAAATCTCTTAATGTTTAATAAATGACCCTTGTATAACCTGTAGACATATAACATGTATTTAACATGTATCATTATCAGAGCTTTGCAACAGCAATATCCTGAGTGTCAGAGTCTCCAGTTTGAACATGAATGTCTGATAGGATTGCCGGTTTTGAACTGGACAGTCCGGTATTTGAGCTTTCTGTTCAGGGAACAAATTGAGAAAATATCGGTATTTTCTAATTAAGTAAGTTTTATTATTATCATCATGAGTATCAGTACATAGTTGCGTACTGC